TTCCAGGAGAGAAGTGGCAAGGAAATATAACTACCATAAAAAAGAGGTAAAGAGAAGTATTGTTTTGAAGCTCTGTATAATACTTTGCTTATTGCTACTGAGGGTTCAAAGAGAATTTTTTTACCCTTAGTTTGCGTTTTACATTTCTGAAGAAAATATGAAAGACCTATATTAAACTTATTACATTTAGGTGATCATTTCAATAGATCCACGGTTCCCATGTTTAGGGAGGGTCTTGACTCTGCAGAAATTTCTATTTATTATTTATTTAAAATATTATACTCCCCAAAGGGATCCAAGGTGCGTTACAATATTAAACACTAAAACAATTAAAATAATTAAATACATTACAACTAGTGAAAAACAGAAGCATAAGAGTTCCATTTTTAGACACACATACACCCTACCTTTTAGACAGCCTGCCACTAAAAGAACACTTACCTGAAGAAAATAGTTTTTACCTGCTTGTGGAAGGCCAGTAAAGATGGACTCAGCCTGACCTACTGTGGGAGGAAGTTCCAAAGTCTGGGAGCAGCAACAGAGAAGGCCCTCTCCCATGTCTCCACCAAGTCTACCTTTGAGGGTGGTGAGACTGAGATGTCTTGATGATTTTAAGCTCCAGAGAGGCTCATAAAGGGAGATAAGGGCTTTATAAGTCAAACCTGGTGCTTTGAGTTGTGCCTGGAAACAGATTGGGAGCCAGGAAAGCTGCTGTAATTGAGGGTGATGTAGCCAGCCCTGTAGCCAGCCCCACTTAATCTGACTATGGCATTTTGGACCCACTGAAGGTCCTGAACACTTTCCAACACAAGAGTGTGTTACAGCAATCTAACTAATACTTAACTATGTGCCACTGTGCCCAGGTCAGGCCTCTCCAGGAATGGGTGCAACTGGTGCACTAGTTTTAACTGTGCAAATGTGCTCTTGGCCACTGCTGAATCCTGGGCATCCGGGCTCAAGAGATGGATCCACAAGCAACCACAAGCTGTGCACCCGTGTTTTCAGAGGAAGTGAAATGTCATCTAACACAGGCTGGATCCCTATTCTTCGATCTGCCTTTCAATTGACCAGGAGCCCCATTGTCTTTTCTTGATTAAGCTTTAGTTTATTTGCCGTTATCCAGTCCATTACTGACACCAGACTCTGATCTAGAGTTGAAACAGCTTCCTCAGATTTAGATGGAAAGGAGAGAGAGAGTTCCGTCTTGTCCACATACTGGTGACACTGAATCCCACCACTGCCATGGAGTAGGCCATCCAGTGGGCTCTAGTCCATGTTTGGTTGGATTCACTCCATGTTTTCTGCCATTGTTTCTCTAGGCTCCATCTCATTAAAATTGCTGGTCACTTATGTTAACCGGATCCAGCTTCTTGGTATAAGGGTACACTGGGTAAAAGCCTGGGGCATGTGGACTAAACTAGCCTACAGATATATGGCCTATGGGCTAGATTACTAAGTGGTGGAATGGTCTATATATGGAATGGCAGTGAGGAAATCTTTGGGCTGTTTCATACACAACCTAGTTGATTGTTTCCTGTCGGTAAAAATGGGCTGGGGATTCCTTTCAGTTTAGACTTTTGTATGATGGAATGAACAAAAAAAGACAGCTATATGATTGCTGTGGCAACAAGACTCTGGCTGAGCTGGAAGACAATGGAACAGTACGGACAGGCTGCAAGGTTGGATCCTTTCAGTGGCTTCAGGCTGAGAGTGTACCCTTGATAAGATGCTGTGGTCACGTTATGTGCCTCAGGACAAAGGATTTGCTTTCTGGGAATAAAGAAAGATGGTGCAATGCACTTTTCTTCCCAGCTTGCCATCTGCCAACACAGAACTCAATTTTAGGGGCGAAGGTCAGTCAACCAGAATGCAAGAAAATTATGGGCATTAGTGGAGCAAAAAGCAATTGATGTTTGGGACAAGGAGACTCAGAGTCACATTCATTCATACTCACGTCTGTGCCCACATGCAGGTGCTTTTCAGTTCACTTTTGCTCATGTAATTTTTATTTTTGCAGATTATGTCCTGATTCTGAGAGAAGGTTCATTTTTTTCCAGTGGGTTGTTAGATTACTCCCCCCCTCATACACACACTCAGAGAGAGAGAGAGAGAGAGATATTTTATTATTATATTTTTACATTTATCCTTTTTATTTTCTGGACAGTTCTCATGTACGTTCCGCTGAATCTTCAGTAACCTATTCTTTGCAATAGGTAGCCATACAGTATGCCTTTTCCAGTCTTTCACTCAAACAGCTGGAACATTGTAAGCTTCAACTACAGGGCTAATTAAAAATTAGGGACAAATATAGCGTTTTGTAAAGGCTGATTTTGCATAACCATAATTTCATTTGATGCTGTAATACAGGTTGTTCTGCTTCACACTTTTCATTACATCATTGCATTGTATTGCATTAGAAATACATTGATTTTCCTTTGATTTTTTTTTAAAATTGTTCCTTCATTTTGTGGCTCTTATTCCCTGCTTATATGCTGTGGTTGAAACAAATCTTCAAATTAATTGCACCTGGGAATAGTCTCAGATGATTTCTGGTTACCTCCTTCATCCATTGGAGCAAGTAAAGGACCTGATTTTCAACTTATGCCTGCCAGGCTAGTGCTTGAGTAGAAGTTTGCTTTAGTTATTATGCTGAAGAAAAATAAATGTTAACATGCTGTTATTTTATGAATTGCTGATAAATCTATCATGTCTTAATTGGTATTGCAGTGGACAGTGTTTATCTTGCAATCAGACCTTAGAAAGTCTTCAGCTCACCCCAGAAGAATACAACATTCTCAAGGAAAAAATAATGAAGGATGTGATAGAAGGGGCTGATACATTTCGAAAAACTACTCCTGAAGTAAGTTGCAATGACAAGTATTTTCATTTTTACCTGCTGGTTTGCTGTGACATATCTGCCTATAACACTTATCAACAGTAGCTGGGCTCAGTGACCCATAGGGTCCCTTCCAGCTGTGCGGTTTGATGATGATGATGATTTGTGGTCATGTCTATGAATGGGCTTTTCTGAATTAAAGGACTAATTTGGTGAGACACTCCCTGCCCTAATTTAATTACAGGGGTGAAAACCTTCAAGCTGGCAGGAGGTAGAGCATGCCATTTCTATGCCTTCAGCTACCATAAATAAGAAAAGTGTCCTGCTCGCCCAGTGCATTGTGAGAATCGTGAAGTTCCTTGAGGCTTTGAAAGATGCATGGGAGAATGAGTGAGTCTCACGAAATCTCACAATTCCCATAGTGCAGCAAGCAACCAAGACACTTTTCTTATTAATGGAAGATGAAGGAATGGTATGTATGTAAACTGGTTTGAACGTTCATTCCAGTAATTTGAATTAGGGCATTTTTGAACGCCACAGAAGAAGGAAATGGTAAACCATAGTAGACCATGCAATGCATAGCATTCAGTACTTTGGTTTTTTTGGCATCTGCCGGGGGTGGTGGTTGGAAGCTGTAACCTATAGCTGCCATGGTCCATTCATACAGTTTTAAATCAGTGGAGTCTTACCAATGCATGTGCTGTGGTCGTGGGCACACAGTTCCATCTTATCAAGGTTTCAGGAGCTATCCTTGTATTTGTCTAGGTAAAGGTTCCCCATAGCATTTACTCCAGTCGTGTCCGACTCTAGGGTGCGGTTCTCATCCCCATCTCCAAGCTGTAGAGCCAGTGTTTGTCCATAGACAGTTTCCGTGGTCACGTGGCCAGCGCGACTAGACACAGAACCCCATTACCTTCCCATCGAGGGGGTACAGTGGGGTCTCGACTTACGAACTTAATCCGTATTGGAAGGTGGTTCGTAGGTTGAAAAGTTCGTAGGTCGGATCTGCATTTCCTATAGGAATGCATTGAAAACCATTTAATCCGTATCTGCTCTTTTCAGTCCATAGAAACTAATGGGAAGCTGCTATTCCACCTTCTACCACTAGAGGGGGATATTTTTTCTTATTTTCCTTAGGTTCAGGAAACAAAGGGGGAGGCAGGGAACAGTTTTAAAAGCACTTTTGAAATCTTTTTTTTTTCAACAAAACCAATTTTAAATCATGTTTTAAAGCATGTTGTGCTGATTTTTTCAGCACAAAGACACACAGGCAGGCTTTTTAGGTGCTGAGCAAGCCTCCCCAAGCCTCTTCAGAGCCAGCCGATCAGCTGATAGGCGGAGAGAGGAGCGGGGAAAAGCACAAAATGCCTGCCAGGCTCCTTCTGGGTGTGGGCTTTTAACTGTTTCCTGCTCTTCTTCCTGCTGTTTGGGGGTTACAAAGGCCTGGTAAGTGACTTTCTTTTATTTATTTTTAAGTTTCTGACCTTTTTCCCCCCTCTAGAAGCCTCTAAGGGGAGGGAGGGGGTACTTTTTTCCTGTCCGTAACTCAAGGGACGTTCGTATGTTGAGTCCTTATTTCCCCTATAGGGCAGGTTCGTAAGTTGAATTGTTCGCAAGTAGGGTCGTTCGTAAGACGAGACCCCGCTGTACCTATTTATCTACTCGCATTTACATGCTTTCAAACTGCTACGTTGGCAGGATGCATTTGTCTACTCACTAGTTAATGCCTTAGGCTGTTTGTCACAGCATCCCAGGGTAGCATTTGCTACTGATAGATACATGGCTCTGTTACTTTACAAAAAAGGGAGGGGATTTCTGTCCTTCTTGGGATGGAACCAAATAAGCCACTAGATGGTGCTGATGTTGCATCTTCAATATGTTAGTAACAGGCACTGCTGACTGCCTCAGAAAGTGTGTTGCTATTTTCTTCTGTGATTCTTACCCCCTTCAGTAAATGTTACAATTTGATGTAACCATTGGATTAGATCATCTTTATCAAAAGCACATCATCTTTATCAAAACCACAGGATGCACTCTTTAAAGGGCTGACTATATATAAAGCTTGTTGAATATAAGGTATTAATTTTTTAAAAGTAGACATCTTTCTGATGTAGAATATCCTGGGACTTTTGATACGGGAAGTATATTATGAGTTGATTTAATCTTCCAACCAGCTATGCAGGTGTCATGCAGAAGTGAGCACACCTCCTATTTTGAGGTCCGCTTAAAGTTGTTGGGTGGATTTGTTTGTTTCTAGTTTGTTTGTTTTGTTGGTTTTTAACAAGAAATTTGAGATCCAGCAGCTGGAAGTGGGGCAAGAGGCCAAACAGATGCATTAAAAATAGTGAATTGTTAAATTGTTGCATAAATCCTGAAATTTATGGGGCAGGCTCAGAGGCTATTAGTGCTGAACTCACTAGAAACTATAGGGTTGGTATGCCTTTGAATATCATTTGTTTGGGGGCAAAAAGGGAGAAGAGCTGTCATTTCTGTGACTTATTCATAGGCTTTCAAGAAGTATCTGATTGATTACTGTTGGAAACAACCTGATTAAACTAGATGGATCTTTGATTCAGCAGGGCTGCTCTTGGGGCTATGATTGAGTGGTAGAACATTCAGATACCAAATGAATTTTTGGTCTCTCTAGGTAGGACTGGAGAGCTACTGAAAATGCTATCGATAGTACTCTATTCAATGAACCAATGACCTGTCTCCCTGCATTAATTATTTAGTAGGCTTCCGGGGCGAAGTCCTGTGAACAGAATTTCAGAATTTACTCATTGTTAGAAGTGTTTCAGTATTTCATGCATAGGCAGGGCTTTTCTGGAAGTAACTGATAGTGGGAACAGTTGTAGCCTTGTTTTTGATAATAGAATGTTTATGTAGGGACAAGCTTAAGATATTTAGGGATATTCCATTTCTAATAATAATAACTTATGCAGCTGCTGCATGTTCAGGAAGTTAGCTGTATAATAAGTGAGCAAATCATCTTTTCAATTAATATACATTATAATTTTTTTAAAAATCCAACATATGTGTTGAATAAAACTTCTTTACATGGTTGCAAATACAGAAATGGAATAATGATGTAGTAACTGAGAAGTCAGCAGACACAGCGTAGAATGACAGTTATGTTCCTTATTTATTTTCAGGGAAAATCTTTTAGAAGATTGCAAGTAATACCACAGTATGCTTTAAAACAACAACAACCCCGTGAGGTAGTAATGGTTATTAAAAAGCTGTAAAGAGTACAGATCCATAGAATATTTTTTTTATAATTCAAGAATAGTACAGCATGCATTTGAGACTGAATTTTTGAGTTCATACTAAAATACATTTCCTGGTTTTTCTTGGTGCCAAGAATTGGGAGGCGTGTAAACTGTAGGAAATGCCTAAATTCTTATACTTTTTAAAGACGTCAGTTTAAAAACCTATAAGATTTTTAAGAATGGTAGGACATGACTTCCTACATCAAAATGAACAGCTGTTCTGTTTTAAAAGTCAGATAAAAATGCCACTTCTGTTGTGACAAAAAGAGCAGCTTTTTCTAGGCCTGACAGTGTACTTTTTTTGTGGAAATGGTTTATAAAACTGTTTGTTTCTTAATATTTAATATCCAGTGAAACAACCTGCATTTGTATTCAGGTGGATGTACACATGCCACGGTTTGCAAAGTCACAATGACTCACTCAGAGCACACATACAGAAATGCACACACCCAGTTTGACATTTCCCTCCTTAACCAGTCACACTGAGAATTAACTCTGGCATTTTATGTATGTGTGAAATTGAGTGTAAATAATTTTTCATTACCCAAGCGAGGCCTCCTTTTGTACCGCCATTTTTAATGATGGTTTCTATAAAAAGATTGGTTCAATTGAGCATAATTTAACAACGCTATTTACGACTACTGTATTTTGGAGGTTCAGTGTGAGAGCACAGGGCTCACTCACAGTATTTTGAACAAGTAAACATCTGCCAGTTGGGGTGCTTCTGGATGACGCTTGCATTATGCAACGACTCCATCTCCTTCACAAGATTTTACAGGCATTCCAGACAATTATGTCTTCAGTGTATAACCCACCTGTGGGTTCCCCCCCAAACTGTTATCTCTCCCCTTCATTTTTCCTTTAAAAAATATAATTTAAGGGGGAGGAAACGCACCGTGGCTTTTGACTAATTGGAGAAATTTTAAGACTGAGCTAGAAGGGAGGGAAAGGCAGGGTTACTGCGAGCTAGTGAGAAGGAAAGGAGATAACAACAAACAAGTAGTCTCTATCGAGAAAGACATTTTTGCCATTCTGTCTGCCAGGATAAGGGTAAAAGGTAAGTCTCCCATCTCATTATGTGTAATTATCTGTGTCAGTAAGCCAGACATCCTGATACAGATATTATGATTGTTGCCCCCAATATATTTTTTCTCTCCCCTCGTTTTTGTCTCACCTTGTCTAAGTTATTTCCTTTATTTAAAATTGTTTTAATCATATTGTAATTACGTTTGTTGTAAGCCGCCTAGAGTGGTTTTAAGTGGTTAGATAGGCGGGATATAAATAAAATAAATAAATAAATAAAAATAGTGAGTTAGTACAGTTCAAGTCTTCTCTCCAGTTGCAATGTGGAAGGTGGGTTTTCTCCCCTTCTATTGTTCTGCCACAAAGTTTTTGGAAGAAAGGTACAACACACCATTTCTATTGTTCTGAGGTAAGCTGCCGTAGCACTGAAATATATCCTTTCCATAGATTCATATGTGAGTTCTTTGGAAATGGTCCTAGAAATTTTCCCACTGTGAGAGAGCAGTGAATAGGAAATGCTCCCTGGGTTATATTTACTCACTCCCTCTGAGCAGAATAGAGTCTGATAGATAAACAGGTTTGTATCTGGAGGCCCATTTTCAGTTATCTCTGTGGGTATTTGTGGTTCTTCATGCAAGTTAAGGATAGTAATATGCAGTTATTATCATTTGGTTTTATATTTGTACTCATCAATCTCTGTTACTGTTAGACACCACCACCAAATTTTTTTAA